AAGAAAAAAAACTATAGCATACTTACTTGCACGCTGGAAGGGGGAAAACTGTAGCATAGTTATTTGCGCTGCACTAGCTTGGCCTGCGCTGAGCATTTGGGCTGGCACGTTCGATGTGTCCCAAAATGTAAAGCTGCCATCGTTGCAAAATACATTTTTAAAATACTTGCGCACATTCTCGCAAATGGCAACAAACGGTGCCAAGTTTAGCAGCTTCGCGGCGCTGGGCCCCGTAAAATGCAAAAAACTCAAGAGTTTGCTGCTCTCACTGATGCTGCTGCTGCTGCTGCTGTTGTTGTTGTTGTTGTTGTGGCTGCTGTTAATGCTATTGCTATTGTTGTTGCTGGCCTGGCTTTTGGCATAACATTTTTTGCATATTTGTTGCAGTCAAAACACGTGTTCCACGTGTGTGTGTGAGCCTGTGTCTGTGTGTGCCATTAGTTGCTTTAGTCATGCACCGGCTGCAACACAAAAAAGGCTCACATGTCGCATTTGCAACTTGCCAACAACTTGGCCGTAAAAGCACACACAAACACACTCCCTTTTGAGAGAATAAGTGCAATAGTTGCGGTTATTTATTCTGCATCCCATCGACTTTAACATAGCCATTCCTGGCCACATTTTAATCAATTCTTAAATCGTTCAATTCGCATAGCACTGCAACACACACACACAGAGCATTTTAGTTATATTTGTCAAAAGTAAAGCGCAGCAATCGTAAATTAAATTTATAGCAAAAACGCCTTTCGCCTTCGGCTTTAATTACAGTCAAATTTTATAAGAAACTGCAGCAAGTTTCAATATATATTTGAAATATTATTGTTAATTATTATGAATTGGTTATTCTTATTGAAAATTATAATATGCTTATGGCACTTCGCTTACTGACACGCATAACTATGTGGCGAGTACTTTACAGTTATCAAGCCAAAAGGGAACAATGATTCAAGTCCATCTCAATTGATAATAAATTCGACAACTTTAACAAAGCTGCAAAGGTTTTCTCAGTCTTATTTTATTATTATCGCTTTGATTATAAATTAATTATGTTATTTTTATTAATACATTATTTGAATTATTTTATCACTCTCTTTTACTTCGCATTTTAAATTTAAAAAATCTTTAAAAATAAAGTTTTTTTTTAAATATTTTTTGCTTTATATTTAAAGTATTTTATTCAATCTATTAAACATAATGTTGAACAGAAAATTTTATTTATATATTTAATTTATATAAATATTAAGATATATTTTTTATATTTTAAAGATTTTATATTTTATATATATATTATATTTTATATATGTTTGTTAAATATATATATTATATATTTTATTTTATAAGAACTCAAATCAGTTTAGCATTAAGTTTAGTTTCTCATTCTGATTTAAAACCTAGAGTATTGTATCTCAAACAGAGCTATTTTTGAGGCTTTAAATTGTGAAAAATAAAATAAATAAATATATGTATATATATATATATATATATATATATATATATTTATATTTTTTATATATTTTTTTTTGTATTCCTATAATATTGTCTTCCGACTCTGTAGCTCATGTTGCTTTGTGCATTATGATTTAAGTAATTAAATAAAATTGTTTTATTTGTTTTTGCTTTTTAATCCAAGGTTTCATATCTTACTAAATTGTTATTATCTTAATTAAATCGCTGATAACTTCAGCAAAGCCCAAACAAATTGTTAGTTTAAGTAAATTCGGTTCAGGTTGAATGTTTTCTTCTTGCTAATAAAATTGATTTGATTTTATTTTCATTATTATTTACATCTATTAATCTGCAATTTATATTCATTTAACTTTGGAATTGTCATTTAAGTTTAATTTTATATTTATTTTTTTGATAAATGAAAGCAAACTTTCAAAAATTCTTTTAATTTTGGCATTTAAGTTTTATTGATTTTTTATCTTAAATATTTTATTTTGGTTGAATAAAAGTTTTTTTAATCTACAGAATTTTTTATTTCAATTGAATTGAACTTTTTATTATTAATATTTAATCTTAAACTTTTTATTTATTTTATGTTTTATAAAAGCTTTCTTTAAAAAGAGAACAACAAAAATAAAAATAAAAATAAAAATAAATAATTGATTTATCTGCTGTTTATTAATTAAAACATTTTTATGCATTCAAAACTTTTAATGAAATTATGTTCCAGCACAGTTGGCAGCTACAAAGCTACTCGCACCCTCTCTCTCCCTCTCTCTCACTCTCTGCCTCTCTGTCTCTCTTGTAATCTCATTTTGAGCGTAACGAAGAAGCGCAACAAACAACAAACAACATCAACAACAATTGAAAAAAGTGAATTTAATTGAATAATATGATTAAATATATACGTTTAATTCCGTGACACGGTCCCATGCGCAAACTGCTGCAATTTAACCAAAAAATAGTTGTATTAATTATGCGGAAATTAACATCGGCTTAAATCTGCGCAGCGGTCTAGCCTAGCCTGCTGCTACTCGCGGCCTCATTAACCAGCTTTAATCTTTATTGATTTCCAGCAAAAACACAAATTTTAATTAATTTATTTCGCAGGCACCGAAGAAAAACAATTTCCAAAAGGAAAACTGCGCGATAATTAATTGTGGTGCTTGCCAATTACACTGAGCGAAAAGAATGACATCAAAAATATCGCACTTCATAATTTTGATTGATTGATTAGCAGATTGAAGTGCTATTACGTGTGATTGATGGACTGATTGAGTGTTCCCAGATTAATTGATGCACTCTTTGTTGACAGAGTGATTGACTAATTGATTGAGTAATTGATGGATTCTTTTTTGACAGAATGATTGAGTGATTGACTCTCTGTTAATAGATTGATTGGGTGTTGATAGTTTGATTTAGTGATTTTTCACAGAATGACTGAGTGATAGATTGAAACTTTGTTGACAAATTGATTGAGTGATTGTTGGACTCTTTTTCGACAGAGTGATTGATGGACTATTTGTTGAAAGATTGATTGGGTGACTGATTAATTCCTTGCAGTTAGATTGATTGACTGACTCTATGACAGATTCATAGGCTGACTGACTGTCTCTTTGTTGACAGGTTGATTTACCGACTGATTGACCGACTGATTTTTTACTGATTGACTGCTTGATTGATTGACTGATAACCTGCTTGAGAATCTCCATTTAAAAACTCACTGATTGACTGATGACCCGTTTGATTGACTGACTGATTATTCAGTGATTGACTGGTAGATTGACTGACCCATAAACACTACAGATTGATTGAGCGATTGGCTGACTGATAAATGTTTCGGCTAGCTAACAGAACAACTGATTGACTGATGGATTAACCTACAGACTGAATGCTTGATTGATTTATTGATGTTGTTCGAATGATTAACCTGACGGAATTGATTATTCAGCGATTAATTCAACGACTGATTGATTGATAGTGATCATGGATCTGTGATCGATGTCAAAATTGCATTGAACAATTTATAAAAAAAATTAATCAATTGAAAAATAAAATTTTATCACAGATCTTATCACAGTTGCTAAGCCTCAAATCAATTTGCTGGCAGAGATAAAGAGTTGAATTAAATTTCAAGTGCAGAGAAAACTATTAAAAACGATTTCCTTTGATGCCGATGGGCGTCCCTGGCAGGTGGAGCTTTTGGAGCGCTTGCAACTGTTGTCTAGTTGCTGTCCACGTCCATTGCAGATACTTTCGCCTGGCTGGCAGCTTCATCTGGAATACTGTGAGTGACTGATAAGCCAAGTTGCGATTTGCTGCGCACCTTTGTCCGCCTTTGTTGGCCAACAGATGCAGGCTGCAGCAGACTTTGCAGCGCACTAATTTTACTTGGCTTTCTCCCGTTCCCTTTTTCTCTCTGTCTCTGTCTCTGCCTCTTCGCTTTTCTATTTATTTTGTGCTATTTTACTATTTTTTGATAAGCGGCTTGGCAGTTGAATATCTTTTCTTGCAGCCTCAGCCGAAAAATACATTTCCGCTTGTTGCGTTGCATTTCGTGCTGTGCTGCCTCAGCTGTCGGAGAACTGTGCCACGAGACGGGCATGTGGCTAATAGGATTTCCACCAAGCAGCAACAACAGCACCAAGAATGACAACCAAAGTCTTGGGATTTTGCTATTGCATAGTTGGCTGCACAAGGCCGTTGCCACTGCGGCTGCCAGTTAATGTTGCATGTTCTTATTATTCCTATGCCAAGAGAGCGAGAAAGCCGATGCAGACAATATGAATAGCTCAATTATAAACGATTTTGGGGTATTATACAAATATATATATACACTAAAAAGGGCAAACAGCAGTTCTTTGGACTTATAGAATTATGCTGCTAGCAATTTGCATTTAAGCTGATTTGACTAAGCCGCTTGAACCTGCAGATTTAACTGCATTTTTTATTGTGATACAAATTTTAGTACACATTATTTTTTATTTATTATTAACTTTTTTATTTCTGTTAATTTCTAAATATTTTACATTTTTTAAAATATTTTAATGTATTTTTTTGTAATTAAATCGAGTTCAATTAAATTTCTCATCTGTATTCCAATTGGAACGCAACATAATTCTAACTAACAGCAAGCTACTGTTACGCTTAACAGCTCTGTTAAAAGTCTCCACTTGCTGTTAGTGTAACAGTAATGCTTGCTAACAGCGCGACAAAGCAACAAACGCTCTTAGCGAGAGCTGAGCTCAAACGGCAATAGGCGCGCCCAAAAAGAGACGACGGCGCGTTGTCAAATGCTCCCATGATGCTCGTTAAACGACAGCAGCCGAAGATGCGCCAAGCCGAAGCGTAAGCAGAGACCGAGGCATCATCTATGCGTTGTCAAAGAGTTGCCGTTGGATGCTCTTTCGACGTCGACGTCGCCGTCAACGCTGGCAGCGTGATGCACGAAGACCGCAACGGAATCCAGGACAGAACATGGATTTTACATACGGAACTTGGCTTGCTGACATCGCTGCCGCAGCAGCCGCAGCCGCAGCCTCGCAACGCAACGCAACGCCAGCTGGCCGTGGCCCAGCCGAAGCGCGTCAGTTAGACGGCAACTTTTGTGGGACACGGTGCGTGCGGACGGACGGGTGAAGCGGAGAGCGAAGAGGTACACGGCGCGGCCGACTGACGAAGAAAGCGCGTAAAAAGGCAACAAAAACAGAAAAAAAAAAAACAAATAAAGAAGACGACAACAAAGACAAATAACAAACGATTACAGCATATACATATGTGTGCGTGTATGTGTGTGTGTGAGTGTATGGAAATTATGCATTTATGCAAATGCAAGCATAGTAAAAAAAAAAAACAAAAAATTTGCCGACTGTTGCGCAAGGCTTATAAATAAATATTTCAAAAGGGCCAACAAACTGTGCCATGAACTCAATCTATGCGTGCGTCTATATGCATGTGTGTGTTTGCGTTTCTCTCTCTCTCTCTATGAGTGAGTGTGTGTGTATATTTGTGTGTCACTTATGCCAGTCAATGAAATGTTTGTTAATTATTAAAATGCCTGTGCATTACGTTGCCATTAAGTAATTAACTTAGATTCAAGCACAGCCAAAACAGCTGTGTGTGTGTGTGTGTGTGTGCATGTGTGTGTGTCCAGTTTATTTAAGCATCATCAGCGTCAAGTTTGTGGGCCCTGCTTATGCGTTATTTTAGTGACCAGCACACATACACTTGCACATTTGTATGCTGTGTTCGTATGTATGTGTGTGTGCTTTTAAGTACATTGATATGTAACAAGAACTGACTTCAGTGCTCGATTGAAATGCAAATGTTTGTTGCAGTCACACAGCAAGGTGCATTAAGACTTATAGCCAGAGCGAGAGAGAGAGAGGACGTGAGTGCAAGGAAGACAGGGCAGAAAAAGGGCAGTTTAATTAGGATTTAAATGAAGTTCAATTAGCAAATTTTTGTTTTTATCAGCTATCATATATGTATATGAAAATAAGAAAAAAAAAGTCGCTAAGTAAGTGCTGTTGTCTTTAGGCGCAAATTAAATTGGCCTACGCACTCACCTGCCCACGCTCAGCTGGGGCACATATTTTTAGTAGGCAGCAGGAAAAACAAATTAACTAAGAAGCCGGCTCAAGCTGCTCGCAACTGTTATTAAAAATAAAATGCTGCCGATGCTGGCTGCTGGCTGCTGGCAAAAACTTTGCCACGGCAATTTTAATAAACGCGTCAATGAAACCAAAACAATGATGACAGCAACAGCAACAAAGGCAACACAAGCGACAACAACAACAAGTCAAAGTTGACGACAAGGCAGCACAAAAAGAAGCCACAATTTGATTAGAGCATTAAAGGACTTTATGCCACAAAGCCTGAAGCGCCACAGGCTCCCACAGGGGGCGCTTGGCCAGTGCTGCGGCTGTGGGGGCCCGATGCCCGTTGGCCGTCGGGCGTTGCCTGTTGGCAAAACAGCAACTGCCACTGGCCCCAATAGACAATCGCCGCAGACAAAGTTGCCGCCTGCCACATTTTCATTTTCAGTTCAGCTTTTTTTTTCTCTCTTTTAGGCCACAAGAAAAAATTTTTAAAACTGTCAACGTTTAAATAATGCTGACAATGACAATAAACAAATGCAATGCAAGCCAAAAGCATAAAACAAAAACCAAACTTTATTATACAAAGAGCGAAAACATCACTTGAGAGTCGACTGCAGCATACTCTGCTATTTGGCGAGGGCTGCTTGAGAAGCTTATGAGATTAATAGGTTAGAGTCTTTGATTGGATGTGCTGAAAGATTAGAGAGAGAAATAATATTGTAATAACTAATGAAAGTAAAGATATTTAATTTAAATTAATCAATAATATTATCGATTATGCTGCACACGTATCTTAGGAAAACTTTAATTTTTGAAGAGCTCTAAAAGTATAAATGGAATCTTATATAGCAATATAGCTATATTGCTCTTATTGACAAATGCACTTTAGTATATACAAAATGTCTACTTAACAGCGATACTATCGATACATATCGATGGGCGAACACTTTTGAGGAACAGCTTTCATTGAACTGGGTAAAAGAATACTTTATAGAACAATCTAGGAGAGAATACATAGAATATAAGTGTTTTGCAGTAAAGCTAAGCGATTCTTATCGATAAAAAATATCGATTAATTTTTCTCAATTTATTTCTTATATATTTAATTGCTGCTGATATTTAAAGATTTCTTAAGCTACTTTAATCTCAATACCAATCTCAATCTGTTTCTTTCTATCTCTCTCTCTCTCCTCCTTTCTCTCTCTCCCCCTCTCTGTCTGTCAGCTCTACATAGCTTCTATATCTCTCTCTCTCTCTTCGATTATATATACTTTTAATCATATGATAGAGCATTTACCAAGGTCTGAGCCAAAACTTTCTAAAAGCCGGACACAATAGACAATAGAGCGAAAGTAACTGTATGTGTATGTGTGTGTGTGTGGGTGTATGCTGCCTCAGTACGCCGCACTTTGACGCCAAAAAACTTTTCAAATTTAATAACCTTAAAACACAGCGCACAAAAAAACCAAAAAAAAAAAACAGAAATTGTAGAAAAACTAAACGCCAGCAGCGAATGTTGAATATTGTTTTTTTTTTAGCCAAGAGGACGCGGCGCTTGTTTCAATTTGCTGGCCTGTTAATGGCACTTGTCGATATTGAAACTATATATATATCTAGATATACACATACATAATCATGGCGGCCAACAGTGCAAAGTAATATGTTTGAAGATTGTGAGCGAAAAAATTTATAGAAAATATGCCGGAGGGAAAGTTTTCGTATGCGGCTTAGGCGACAGGACGACAGCAGGAAGGACGAGCACATAGAATGGATTATGGTGGCTGCTGGCTGCTGCAGCTGGGCATCTATATGCTGCTGGGTAAGTTTTTGCTACGGCTTTAAAGTCGGGGCTTTAGTCAGCGTCCCGGCCGCTGGCTCATAATAATAATAAAAATATTTGAAACTTTTCATTTTATTGCCTTTTGCTTTTAATCCCTTTAAGCTGTTCAACCTTTTTTACGACAAGCTCGACGACGTGGCCAACTTTGCGGTTGACCTCAGCACACACACACCAACACACACGCACAACAGCCTGAACCCTGACCCTTCAATGGCGACACCATGAAAAGTCATTTAGGCATTTCCGTTTCCGCTTTGCGCTTTTGTGCACTTGCCTTTTGTTGCCATTGTGACCCGAAACTCAAAAATTAGCATAGCAATAAATGTGTTTGTTGCTCGTGTTTGTAAATATGGGCGAGACCGCAGAAATTTATGCAAATTTCATGCCACCAAATTGTTTTTTAAATACACTTTCAATTATTGCGCCCGACAACTGAAATCTCCAGCCGAAAAATCTCATTTTAATAACAGTTATTGATTATGGCCATTATTACTCCAGCTATCGGCACTAATTCCATATACTAAACCAACTAGTTGGCATCACTATGCAGCGAGCACTTGCCACTGTTTCAGGCAGCTGCCACGAAATGCTTTAGTAATTGGATTTCTCAATTGCACTTCGGTCTGTGTCACTTCTGTGTGCTCGGGCAGCATTTTTCCATTTGGCCAGCGCAATTTGTCTGAAACAGAACGAAACAAGCGTAGCTGACAGCCAGGCCAAAGTAAAGCGGGAAATAACAAAAATAATTTAAGCTCTCTGGCTCCTAATGCATTCGAGACAAATGTCAACGAAATGTAAATAGAATTTTAAATATGTGTTTCGAGCTGAGCGCATTTGAGGCTAATAAATTAAATATTTTGACAACAAATGCACTCTTTGACTGACATTTCAGGGCAGGGACTCAAGCAGAATGAAGTCGAGTAGAAAAATATATATAACTTGCAAATAGTTTATAGACAAATTTCAACTAATCCCTCGCATTGTGATGCTTTCGTCTAAGAAACCTTTATTGCATAAGCCTTTTAAGCCTTTGAGTCTTTGAGTGAGGGCAGTAAAACTACATCAATGAAAGGCCAACAGAATCACATTGGACTTTTACAACAATTATGTACTCTCTGTAGCCATAGCTACAATCCCATATTGGCTTTACAGTCAGTTAAGACAATACCAAATACAGCTATGCTTCTAGTTTCACAAGGACTAAAGACTATGCTTCGCCTGCCCAACTGCTTTTAACTGCATTTGTCTACAAAATATTAACTCACAAATTGGCTAATCCGCTGCCCAACAGGTCAGCTTCAACTCTAGCTCTCACTTGTGCCTCTCCTGCAGCAAAGCTGTTGATATTTAGCGGACAAATTGAATTGTTTGAAAAAGTCTTTAAAACTCTTTTTTAGCAGAGAGCAGCAGTTGCTTTGTATCTCGTTAAGTTCTTTTAGCAAAAGAAAAATATTTTTGTATCTTACAGTGCCTCAAAAATGCTCATTGCTTTCCTGCTTTAGTTTAGAAATATCTCAAAAATATGACAAATACTTTTAAGAAATTAGAAATCAATAAAAATTTCAGTTTTATATGCAGCATATCAAAGGCTATCATAAAAGTTGGCATGCGCTGAGTGAAGGCTGTCTGAACTGATCGTCGCTCTGAAGAGCGAAGTCTGCGGCTTAAGCTTCTTATCTGCTAATAGAGCTCATCTCGTTAGCAATAATGTTATTAACAACCACATGGCATTCAAGAGCTTGAGCAGCTTCTGTACCTCGTGCTTCAATTCAACCTCGTGCAACTCCTGACTGAGTTCTGCTTTATGAAATTCAATTTACTCAAAATGTTTCCAGTGAAGTACTCAATGTTTGTTCGACTTACAGCGACATATGCTGAGCTTTAATTTCTTATTAACTTTAATTTCTTATCCACACTCTGCTTATAACAAAACATGCCTCTTGCTCTAGCAATAACTTGTCTCCGAACACATCTTCTTTCACTGCGTGTGATTGGAGCAAAGGCCACAAGTGTTGAGGTCTGCTGATGATACTCAATTATTCAATGCTGTTCCGCAGTTAGCTTAAAAATAAGGCATTAACAAAAGATAAAGAAACCCGAATGATATAGCCATTAATACCACATTTATGCTTAAGAAAATTGCTTGTTACTAAAGCCCATCAGAAAATATTAAACGGCTAAGAACCTCCACGGCACAGGCACTCCTCCTCCTGCTCAGGCCAAAAGCATTGACATATTTTAAACAAATATGATTTGTGCAACAAAAATAGCTTTTTTCAAGCTTATTTGAGCTTTGAACATAAATATTTGGAAATACAAATAATATTAAATAGATTGAGCAGAATATCAAAAGCTTGCCAAACTGAAGAATTTTGTGGCATAAAATGCGAATCAATTCAAAGACAAACACAGACACACACGCACACACACACATAGAAATTTGCATAGTTTTTTTATGCATTGCTTAAAGTATTTTGGGATAGCTGCAAATATTTGAAGGACATTCCAGCAAGGACAAAGCAGCAGCAGCAGCCGTCGCGAGAGCAAGAAAAAATTTACATAAAGGAAACATAAATGTGACAATTTCATTTTGGAGTACGCCTTAAAGGATTTACCCAAAGACACACACACACACACTCACACACGCACACACAGCGAGACAGGCATAAAAACTTGCGCTATATTTTATTTGCACTTTTCGAAAAATTTATAGACGCTTTTAAAATTTACAGCCAAAGAGTGAGCCGAGGCCAAAATAAATATTTGGCTGGAGCTGGGCGTGGTCTGACTTGCTGACAGTTCGCCACTCGACAGAGTCGCTTGCCTCAAGTGCCATAAAGTTTATTTAAACAAATTGCCTATTTTACAAGTGTCTTCAATTTTATTAAGTGTGCGATTTGGCTGGCAGAAGTAAATTATGTTTGCACGCAGCGCCGCGCCCACGCGCCAGCACACGCCCACAACTGCAAGTGTGTGTGCGTGTAAATTCCTGTGAATTGCTTAGCTGGGCTGGGCGTGGCCAAAAAACTGACACTAATGTGTAGCGGATGTGGCATGCAACAAAGCCAGCCAACCGCAGCCAATGTGGAAAATCAAGTTTCAACTTTGACGTTTTGCCTGACTCTAGCTGCTGCTGTTTTTGTTGTTGTTTAGCTTAAATCCCATTTGCTATGCAGCAGCCATAACAACAACAACAACAACAACAATAGCAGCAGCAGCAGCAGCAGCTAAGGAATCTCAGCTCGTCGCATAGTTGGCCAGACAGCAGCTACGGCTATTTATTTTATTTTAGCTTCTTTTTTTCTGGCCTTTTTTGTGTGCCATTTAGCTGCTCAATTGTTGTTGTTGTTGTTGTTGCGCAACTACGCTTTAGTGAGATTAGCATCTTTATTTGTGTTCGCCTGCCACAAGCTCAACTCCAGCTGAAAAGAAACTCAAATCAGCTAGCCAAAAATCGGAGCAGCGCAGCTAAGAGATACCCTGTGAGTTGCTTCAGTCTAAGGCAAGGTATAGCTATAGCTATAAAACCAGCACAGAGCCTTGTGCTATTATTTCTAGCTATTTTAGGTAAGCAAAGATCGATATTTATCGAAATTTGTGCAATTGAAGTTGTTATCGATAGAAAATATTGATGGAAGCAGGCAAGCTAGATATATAAAGGGTATGTGAAATAAGAATAAAAAAGCGTTCAGTTAAGATGTCTACTCTTGACTCTAGACTGCTCTATGCTGAAAATCGATATTTATCATTAATGATAACTTAGCTTAAATTACTTAAGCTTCACATTTAAAGAGAGTTCAGCTAACTCAGCCAACATCAGTCAAGCTGCTTCTACTTAAACTCACATTAATAGCTGCAAACAACTGGCCAAGTATTACCTATATTTACAGGGTATATGGATGCAAAAGAAAAGAGAAAACGCAAGTCAAAACAAACAAGCGGACTGCTCGGACTGCTGCGTGGTGCTGGAAGCGTTTGTCGCATTTATATGCAAATTATAGATGCTTGGCATTTCTTTATGCTGCGGGGCCGTGCAGATTTGTCTGCGCTGGCGTTTATCGTAAGCGGCAAACGATTCTTTTTTGCTGCAGCAACTTTTGTGTGTTGCCTACTTTTCAGGGCACGCAATTTGCATTATCCACTCAACATAGAGTCAAGCGCAGAAAACTATGCGCTGCTTGCCTTAAATAAAATGTACAGCAACAGCAGCAGCAGCAGCAATAAAAGAAAGCAAAGTCTGGCGACTTTCTTTAGGCACTTTCACGGTTACCAGGAAAAGCCTTGCTGCGTGCTGCGGCTTTCACAATTTTGTAAGCCACAAGCGAACAGCTGTGCAACAATCAGCCAAGCAAACAGACAAAGCATCAGACAACCTGCTCCACCTATACATAAGTAATGCCTACACACGCACACCCACACACATGTCTAGTTGACAACAACAGCAAGAATCAAATTGAGGTCTTGAATTGCCATCGGAGTTGTTTGGCGTTGTTAGGCAGCAAAAACTTTGCTCAAGTGCGTTGATTGCCATGCAAAAAAGTTGCCTCTTGCTCTTGTATTTGATGTACTTATTTAAATACCCTATGCTGTGTACCTGACCGTACTACAAGAGGTAGCTCTGTTCTGATATACTTAGGCATATTTTAATTTAAACTACATTTTAATTATATATTTCATATTTAAATGTGCTCAACTAACATAGAAGTCTTAGAGTAACTTCAACTTATATGATTGGGCTTAGACATGATAATTTATGATCGTAGTTAAGCTTTCGACTTAAGTTGCTGTTTAGTTAGTTAGAGAATAAGGCTTAAGCACACAAAATGTGAGCTGAAATATATCAACTAGAGCTTCTATATTTTAGTATTAGAAAACTTTTTGCAGTTCAAATATATATATATTTGAAACGTTTTATATTTACAACAGATCAATATTTATAAACAGACTCCGTTTCATTGTCTTTCCATTTCTTACAAGCATCGTCGCTGCCTCTGGGCATCGGCTTGATCAGTCTCAACCAACAGCTCATAAAAGCGAAACAAACTCTAGTTCGATTAGTGCAGTATCTCCTGAAAATTCTTTTGAAATTTTGAATATCGAAAAATCTCGCTAGCTCAACATAGTCTATCAAAATCAAGGCACTATTTGATTTATAATTGTTTTTGCAAATAAATATTTTTATATAGCCACATATTCCAACATGTTTTAAGTATTTCAAGTCAGGCATTCTCTATGCCAGACTAATTCATATACTCCAAAAGTTTCAACTCAAAAATTTGAGCTCCAATAAAACAATATTGAATATAAAGTCAAATTCATCAGAGAATCAAAAATAATAGAGAATCAAAATATTTTCAAAAATATTTTAACAAAACTTACTTAAATATTAAATTAAATTTCAAAAAAATTTCTAAAAAATATCAAATAAATGAATTGATTATTAAATATATAAAAACGTTTTAAAAAAAATAAAATTCAAATTTAATTTGTAGAATAATTCTAAAAAAAAAATTTAATAAATTATATATTTTATTAATATACTAAAATGTGTCAAAAATAATACTCAAATTAAATTTGTAAAAATATGCTTAAAACATTTAAATAAATAATATATTTTTTAATATATTAAAATGTTAAAAAATAACATTCAAATTAAATTTGAAGAAAATTTCCAAAAAAAAAAAATTAATAAATTTAATATAAATATTTATAATATAAAAAATATTAAATTTATTAATTTTTTTATTTTTTTTATTTATTAAATTGCTAAAAAATTATTGCATTATTATATAAAAAGTCATTATTAAAAAATTGAAGAGCTTTTAAGAAGCATTAAAGTCTCGTTAAGTGATTTATAATTTATTTCAAGGGTATTAGCTCAACCTAAGCCTTTGAAGCTGTCGCTGCTTGTTATGCGCTAGGCATACAAAGACAAGCACACACACACACATATATATATACACATATATAAATATGTATATATATATAAAGAAATAGTCTTAGCTGCTTGGTCACAGATACAACTGTCATGCCGTTTGCCACGCAGGTGAACTTTTACCGCCCACCTGTGGTACACCTACACACACTGCGTCACTCAGTGTGCGTGCGTGTGTGTTTGAGGCTGTCATTAAGCTGCGGTTGCCGCTGCCATTTGCAAATGTGTTTGCCATTGTCGTTGTTATCGTTGTTGTTGTTGCTATTTCATGTTACTGCTAGTCAGCAGCTTTGACATGCTTCAAAGGAGTCGTGTCACACTCAGCTGTCGGTGTGTGCGTGTGTGTGCAGCATGCAGCGGGGCTTGCCAGAGGCAGAGCACAGTTCCGCCTCTTTGTCGTCTAGGCTAGGCACTTTTGTTTGTTTGTCTATTGAAACTTTAAACAAGTTTTCAGTTTGTTTGCTGCCATTGACAAGGCATAAAACAGAATGCAAAGCTCACATTTCACAGCCAGCCGACTGCAATCTGTCGCGCATTATAAGAAAGTATCTATATATATATATATATATATATATATATATATATATATATATATATATGTATAGAGAGAGAGAGGGAGCGCTCTTAAATCTAAGTGAGTTACAAGGTAAATGCTGAGACATCTTAAAGAAGTTATGTTGTTTGTGGCACAAGTTTCGTTGCTGCCACACCTCAAGTTATTTCACCTGGAAAGTGCAACAAATTAAATTCAGAACGAGCGATGCTGTTGCTGCCGCTGTTGCCTAATGCCATTTGCAGCAACAAAAATTATGCAGACAAGCTGCAAATTGTCGTCCTTGCTTGGCATTAAATTGTTGCTTATCATGCGGCACTGCGCTGCGATTCGCCAACTGCTGTGCGAGTGCGACGAGACATGGCCAAGATTATGGAAATTTCGCCGACAACTTTTTCAGCTGCCGCTGTTGCAGTTGCAATAAGCAGTTGCCACAGCAACAACAACAATTTCAGCTAATGATATTAACCACTTTTTTTTCGTTGCTGCCATTTCCTTTTCAGCTGTCTGTTTGCACTTAAAAACGTTCCGCAAATTGTAAAAACCCACGCGCGGTTTTCCCAGCTTTGTTGCTGTTGTTGCCTGCAAACGTTTAGCAATTGTTGCTGCTTTTCCCTTTGCTCTTTCTACTTTTGTTGCTGTGTCATTTCAGATGTTGAGCATTTTTACAAGTTCATTCAATTAGAAGTTGTGCGTCAGTTTTTTCCTGCTGCACAATTTGTCTGCTGTGCGTTTGCTTTCACTCTCTCGCTCTCCCTCTCCCTCTCTCTCTCTATCTCTCTCTCTGTGCTTTGCTTAATTTCTTTTTATGTTAATTTATCTACCCAACATTAAGCTTAAGTTATCTTTTTTATTTCACGTAATGCACTTAACTCTTTAATCACCTTAAAAGACATTTCTTAACAGTCTGCACAGCAAATCACTTTACAGCCTTTCCGTGCGATTCTCAAAAACATTCAAAAAGGCCACAGTTGGCTGTGGCTCAAAGTTTTTATGTAATTTTATAGAAATTTTTAATTTCTGTAACCATTTAACTATGAATTTTTATACATTTTTAAATATTTTTAAGATGTTAAACTTGTTAGTATCTCACATATCATAGTTTATATATTTGATAATATAGATAATGCCAATACCACAGCAAGAGAATTAAATGTGTGTATCTAACAAAAGAACAAGCAATTGGTGTAATAATAACAAATAAGAGTGCTCTAGGTGGGCCTGCACGACTATAATATATTCTGAAACCTACGCAGAGCTGATGTTAATCAATCAATCTCCCTTCTATTCGCTTCTCACTTCAAATTCTAAGTCGGTTTATTTATTGCAGAAGTCGGCACAGTAAATCCGAAACTTACACCTTTTGCGGCATTAAAGTTATGTAAAAAAGAAAGAAATGAGTTAGCGTTAAATCTCATATAATGCTTGCTATACATGAATATATATATTGGGCTCTGCCATGCTAGCTTCTGCTATTATACCATTATACCCCGACTTCCCATTCACAAGGTGTATGAAAAAGAAAAAGGAAGGGTATATTTGAAGAGAAACTACTCTTCAAAGAAAAATACCAAACTTTTATTAAATGAAATGCTCATCATAAGAAAAACACACAGCTCCAAGATTAATCAATCTCTTAAGACAAACTAACATGAAGAGAATCGCATAGAAAGGCCTCAGGTAACATGTGAGAACAGAAAACATAGCCAAACTCCATATATATATTTATATATTAATATATATTTATATATTTACTGTCATGTACACATACCAATACATATAGAAGCCAATGTAAATGCAAATAAATATTACAAGATTTAAAACAAATTGAATACATTGAAAGCTTAAACATTGAAATAACCCATATGCACAAGAGCAATTAGTATTTGACTCAGCACACAGAATACATATTTATGAAATGCAATCTGGAATTATTTTCATTTTTTACTCTTTGCGCTGCGATCATAAACTCTGATGAAGCTTTATTTGTGCTATACAAACACACGCACAACCGCACACACACACACACACACAGATTCACAATGTTAAAGCTGGCAAATGCAAAATATTTTCCTTTCGTTTCGTTATATATTTTGTGCAGCATTTTTATGACATTTTTCATCATTTTATCTGACGTTTTTTTATCGAGAATCGCACCCGGAATGCTGCTGCCGGCAGCTGCTGGCTGCTGCTGTTTACCTCACGTCTGCTATCTCGCTCACGCACGCTCTATAACCGCATCTCCGCGTCTCTGTTTCTCTTTTGGCAGCTATGCGACGCATTCAGTGTCTACTTGTGACTGACATCAATGTGCCACAAATTGTTGATTTTCGTGATAACGTGACATTATCCTGCAGCTATGACATAAGTGGTCACACGTTAAATTCGGTTAAGTGGTACAAAAACGACAGCGAGTTTTTTAGGTAAGTACACAAAATCGCACACTCACACACATACACAGAGAGTGTGTGTGTGCGCTTATAATTTATGATATTTATTTTGTTATTTTTGCGAAGGCTGCGCAGCTGTCAAATGCATCAAAATCCGTGCCATAGCCCTGGGCGTACTCATAACCAGTTTCAGCCACACCCACACAGCCCACACAGCCCACTCAGCCCACACACACGCACAGCGAATTGCCACATAAATATGTTCATTGTCATGCGACTTTCTTGCCTAATGAATTATTAAATAAATTAATTTACGTTGGTTCGTTTATGCTATGGCAAATTAATTTAAATGTCCTACCATATGAAATACACTGTTGTGGTTGGCCCCGTTTTGGGTTTATAGGCTTTTAGTCGTGCGGCCCAGCCCGACTCGGCTCGACTCGACTCGGCAACAGCCATCAGTCACTTGCGTATGTCAACCTTTGCACGTAAACGACATGTAATATTTATGCCACAACTGTTGGCAGTAGCCCTGGCAGTGGCAACAGCAACAGCAGCAGCAGCCAGACAGGCGACAACAAAGCCAACTAATTGCCATAGGAGCTGATATCTGTTCACGAGCTGTGCCAGAGGCAAGCTGAAATGATTATTAAATGCCAATTTGACCTCAAGACGACCACTTCAAATAGTGAATATGCAATCAAGAGAGGAACACAGACATTAACGTCATTATTGAATTGCCACACAGAAGTTATAATCATCATCAGCATTGTCATCATCGGTCCCCAGTTGAAAGTCAGTTACATACATAGCACACATATGTATGTCTGTATGCACGTCTGCAAGTATTTGCACTGCAGCGTAATGAAAAATCTCAAGTGACTGCTTCGCGTTTTGCTTAATTAAAAATGAGAATGAGTAGCGCTTAGGTGCTCTGCACACACACACACACACACATCTGAGTGCAACCCCAAGTAAGTAATAAGAGGGGGCTGACTGCTAAGCGAAAGTTTTAATTAGACAGCAGAAACAGCCGTTGCTGCAGCAGCAGCGGCAGCACATGAAAAGTCAACTCTAGCCAATTGCAATTTTACTTGCACTTGTAATGCAACTGCAAATTAATGTAAACAAAAAACTTTAAAACGCTAAAACATGCGCAATATATATACGCTACTATATATATAAATATTTTTTGCGAACTTGAAGCGCACACAGCGCTAAAATTCACTCAAAGCACAGCATTTTTTGCACAACAAGCAAGAAAACTTTCAATTGGTGTCATTTTCATAATGGCGCATGAGAGAGATGGAGCACTATTTACTTGAGCAGCATATAAATATTTGTCAGTATATAAATACTTTTGTGTCTCTTTCTTGACTGCAGCTCAAACTTGCGTCTAAGCATGTATGGCAGTTAAAACTGCTATTGTTTACACGGCATTAGCTACATGTCTCGCTCGCACTTGTAAAGTCCTGCAGCTAGCTTGCATTGATCGCAGACTTGCGCATAGCATATAGCTATCTCGCTTGCTCACAAGCAACGAAGCCATTCATATTCAGGCAGCACTGTCATTGGTCATTATTATATTTTTCATGTTTTCCAGTTTCTTCTGCATTTATAGTAATTTCTTCTGTCCCTCTCTCTCTCTCGCACTTCTTTTAGCTGTACTATAAATCGTTTGTTTTATGTGCTATGCGCCAATTAGAAGACAGAATCAGTTTAATCTACCAAGAAATAAATAAATTAAAATACAATTAATTTTTGTCCAGATCCGCCGTCTTGTGTAGTTTATTTTATCTTAAGCTCAACGCAGTATTCATTGGCTTTGCACATCAAATATGTGAAAAACTAAGTGGAAAATGGGCATTAAACACAAAACATAGACTAAAATAGCTGCCACAAAATCCCATGTAACGAACCAAAAAGGCAAACGCAACAAGAGCAAGAAAGCCAGTTTATATTGCTTATCAAATTTGTTGATTTGCTGCCACAGCAGCCGCCATCTAAGCCGCAAATAATTCGACCCAGGCCCCCTCCCCCGAAACTGCCAAACTGTCTACTGTCCTACGTAACATCTTGCCCAGTCCTGGACAAGCAACAAACGCAAGCTTACGCCTATTAACAAGTAGCGCACAAAGCGACTTATCAACACCACAGCAGCCCACAAAAGTTGAGAGCATTTTTCTTTGGCATTGCCCCTGCACCGAAATACCGACGGAAGTGGGGCATAGTTAACTAGTCGAGCTGTGAGAGCAGCCAAATACATATACAGAATACAGAGTATTTGCCAGTCGAGCACACTTAGCCATGTCGCACTTGTTTATTTATGTGCTAAGGCCACTTTTGTTGCTCAGCTCTGAACAAGTTTTCCACTTGAACACTTTTCTTGTAGATTTGTCTGCAGATAGATTCAATATATATTTGAGGGATTAATGAGCAACAATCTACAATACAAAACGAATTGAAGAAAGCACCCACACACACACCTACACACAGCTGTGTGTTTGAGTGCATGCCTCGGCACTTGTGTGCAAAATCTCCATTTCCTGGCCTCGTTTCGTTTATGGCTTGAAAGCTTTTAGCGTGCCTTTTGGGCCGATTATCAGCTGACCAGGCAGACAGGCACCGAAAAAGGACAGTAAATGGCAGCTGGCACAATTTGCGGCCAATTTGCCGCCGCTCAAAGGAAACCCTTTAGGCCAACTAACGCTCTCTCTCTTCCCACTCTACTCTATTCCTCTAAAAAAAAAACAGATATGCGCCGCTAATGCAGACCGTTTTTCGTAAGTTCCCGGTGCCGGGCGTGCAATTGATCGATAACAGCTACGAATGCAATGAATCGTCGTGTCGCGTGGACTTGAATTTATTGGGCATCAAATCGACGGGCGTCTACAGGTGCGAAGTGTCCGGCGATGCGCCACACTTCAAGCTAACAGCGCGCACGGCCAACATGAGCGTCGAGGGTAAGTTCATACCACACGTTGCGTATACGTAATAAAATTCAATTTCAATTGTTTGTCTTACATTAAAGTGCAGTGTGCATGCATGCATGTTTGTTTGTGTATGTGCGTGTGTGTGGGTGCGTATGTAATGCAAATATTTTTACCGCTATCCATCGGCAAATGCCCGTTGCGCTGCCGCACAGCATAAACCAAGTAAAATGTGTAATTTCCGTGATATTTTAATGGTAAACAACATGCAAAAAAGAAAACTGCAAGGAACAAGCACAGCAGGCACAGAGAGAGAGAGAGAGAGAGGAAGGCGAAAGCCGTTTGCATATATGCCAAAGTGGCTTGCAACAACGTGCAACGTGCTGCATGCAGCTGCATGCCAGCAACACGCACAGGATAAGCAGCCCGGCAGCAGGATGTATTCGCGCAAGAAACAAGCCAGCGAGCAGCAAGCTGAACGTTTTCATAAAATGTAACCAAGAGATGCATGTGATTCGCATCCCTAGCCACACACACACACACACACACACACACACAGTTGCACTGAGAGTGAAGCTGGGCAGCGGCAAGAGCGCTGAAATAGCACACAGGAATCGCGCTTGCTTGCCTCGAGTCTGCGGGTGTGTGGACTGTGTGTGTGTGTGTGTATGTGTGTTGTTGTTGTGCGCCTCTGTGATTTACGGCAGCACTTTATGCTTAAAAAGGATATCGCTAAAATGAAAAGCTCCGCTACCGAGTGCCTCGTGCTGGCTGCCTTGTCCCCATGCACAGGATGTGTGTACGTATGTGTCTGTGTGTCTGTGTCTGAGTATGTCTGTGTGCCTCGTTTTTCTTCTTTTTATTTTCGCTTTTACTTTTGCCCACACACACACATACACACACACACACAGCAGGATGTTTCTGCGCGCTCTGCATGTGTTTTATGATCATCTATTTTTTCGCTGATATAAAATAAATATCTTGTCGATGCGCTGCGTAGTACATGGTGCGCGTCTCGCTGCTGAAATATTTTTAAAAATTTATCAAAAGCAAATAGAGAAGTTGTTAAATAAACAACAGCAAGCATAGCGAGCACAACATAGACAACGGCAGAGCGAGGGAGGCGCAAAGCCGAAGATGGAGCCAGGCCCGGGCTGGGGCCGTGCAACAAGCTGCAAAATTTGCATGTTTCATGCACGTTTAATATTAGCCTCCCAGTTGTCACTAATGCACTTTTGCTACCTTTTATAATCTGATTATTTTATTATGTCTTTTCGCTAGTCAAATGAAAAGAGATTTTCTGCAGAGCTGACAAACATTTAAGCAAAAATTTATTTCAAAATTTACTGAACACGAGCAAATCTCAATCAAATATGAAGAAACTTTAAGACTTGATAAAACTACACAGTGAGAAATCGAATTGCATTTCATTTGCATTCATTAAAACTGACCGAGCCAACGACTTCTTAATGCACTAACTTCGCATGCTGAAGCACTTTATATAGCTGCGTTTGGGTCTGACTGCTTTCTTGCTTTGTCTTAACTGCAAAACTTACTTGAAAAACTTGGCAGAGCTCCAAGTGGAATGAGCTTATAATAGACCAAGCTAAGTATATAACTACTTGGACTTATTGAATGGCAATATATTAATGATGTATACTGAATATTCCTGTCTGCGAGATCTGTTCGAAAAAATTGTTATTTTTTTTTATTAATTTTTTTTTATTAATTTCTTATTCTTATTATTATTTTTTAAAAATTAAGGCATAATGATAAAGAATAAAATAAAATCTTATGCTATGCTCAAGAGTATTCAATTAGGCAATAAAAATATTATATTTACAAAACTCTCATATGGTAAGAAGGCCCAGTTGGCTAATCTCTTAGGCAAAACTGATTTTTCCTAAGATCTGGCAGGCAGTGTCTCCTGCTCATCCTGCGCTCTGCTGGCAGTATCTCACTGTATCTACAAAGTACCTTCCAATCTGCTCCTCAATTGTAAGCAGTTTTAAGTCGCAACAGTTTTAGTATACCATAACATAATTTATCGCATAACGAGATTCCTTTTAGACTGAATATCTATTCTGTGTCCTTAAAGTAATGCCCATCATATATTAGACTGACTTGTGCCCACGCTTCGTACAGCATTCGAAGAGCTTCAGAAACTAATTGCTTGTGATCTAATTGAGTTTCTTCTACAGTGCTATTTTATCTCACTCAATTGTACCGTCGTGTAAGGGCTCATGAGCCCTCAGCTTTGCGTGCAAGCAAAGGCCATAAGAAGTCAGGTCTGAGAAATAAGTTTGCTGCTGCATCATTAGTGCATTGCAACATTTACATACAGATTCTTTGCTTCAGTTTTTGGTATAAATATCTAAGAGCAGCTTGTGCCAAACAGCTGTCCAAATGTAGCTGAGTGAGCTTCAGTGAGCAGCATAAGAGCCAACAGAATAAATTGAAATCATGTAACCTTCAGTAAAAATCAAAATTTGCTTAACTTTTTGAACAGACCTCGTATAGCTCAAATCAAATTTAGTCCATATATAGTATACTATACTACTATATATACTATAAATGACTTTGCTGTTGTATTTCTGTGGCTCTAAGGATAATGTGTGAATTTATATTATATTTTAATTGATGTTTATTTTATTCTCATTATTGTATTAAAATAGTATCCAAGTTTTCTCTCTATAAAACATCGATTTCATTCTTGAATCTTAAGCCCACATGCATTTATTATTCATTCACATTTTACTTTCAGCTATAGCCAGCTTAAGTCTTCGAAACATAGACTTAAGGCTAAATGAGTAGAATTTCTGAACTCATCTTTTATCTTCTATTTGCTCGCAGCGCTGCCTCAAAACAATCCGCTCATCAGCGGCTTCCACTCAATGTATCGTGAAGATGATTTCGTCCAGGTCAATTGTAGCACAGATTATTCCAGTCTGGTGACCACGATTAGCTGGTATATAAATGGCATCAAGGTGAGTCGAGACGCCCACACACACACACACAGAGATAAGGGAGTTGCCTTTGTCTTGCAGGCCAGCAAACTGGATCTGCTGCCCAGCGAGGAGACAACGATTTCGGCGCACGATTACAAGCTGCAACGCATTGTGTCGCAGCTGAACTTCTATGCCAGCGAGCCGCGCTTTCAGCAGCCGCAGCTGCAGCGACTGCAGCAGCGCCAGCAGCAACAGCAGAAGCAGCAGAAGCAGCTGCAGCGACGCCTCGAGCTGCGCTGCGTGGCCGACATCGGCAGCTATCCGCAGCTGACGCGAGAGTCTAGCCTGCAGGCGCTGGTCTTCCGGGACGACATCGATCGGAAGAACCAGGAGCTGTACAAATCAGGTGAGTGCCGGCGCTTAATGCACGCGACCGCAATTACAGTGCCCGCCAAACTGATGTGCACACACACGCACACAGATGTGGCGGGCTGCTAATTAAAAATAAATGCACATCCAAATACAAATGACAGGCGGTTGCGTATTTGGACAATTTACAAATATAAATAAATATAATTGCAATGGCATGCATGCCGCTCTTCCATTACCCCTGCTGTAGGTGCGCCGCGGGTCGCTCTGCTCGGCGTTCAGCTGCTGTTGGCCGCGACGACCGCAGCGGCGGCAGCCATCAGCAGCCAGTTGCTCTGCTTGCCGCTGACATTTCAATATGGCGCCCGGAAGTTGACGACACGGACAACTGCAACAGCAACAGCAACAGCAACAATAGTAGTGGCAGCAGCAGCAGCAGCTGCAACTGTTAGTTTTCACATTTAACTAGATTTCACATTTTGCGTTTGTAAACTGTTTTCTAGCTTTAAGCAACTGAAATGCACGTGAGAATTTACAACTACAACTGATATATATATATGTATGTATGTATGTACGTGTATGTTCGTACATCACTATGAACATATAGCTAACCAAAACATGATGTAAATAGTCTGTAAGTATGCGTACGCAATACAATTAAAAGTCATCAATAAAAATAATTGCAAGCGACGAGCACTCGAATCACTTCCTCAATTCCGGCTAAATAAATGTTGCATTTGCATGGCCAACACGCCCACGCAATGGCCATTGCCACAAAAATGGCCGCTAACTATGCTGTTGGCCATTATGCATAAACATAGCCAAAGGGCGTATGCGCTGGGAACTTTAATATGAACAGATATCGTAAAAGATACTTTTGTATCCATAAGATACTTTTTGTGGAGCGCAGTAAGTATCTATTGCATGGCATTGTATTATCGTTGTCATTGTCATTGTCATTGTCATTGTCATTGTCATTGTCATTGTCATTGTCATTGTCATTGTCATTGTCATTGTCATTGTCATTGTCATTGTCATTGTCATTGTCATTGTCATTGTCATTGTCATTGTCATTGTCATTGTCATTGTCATTGTCATTGTCATTGTCATTGTCATTGTCATTGTCATTGTCATTGTCATTGTCATTGTCATTGTCATTGTCATTGTCATTGTCATTGTCATTGTCATTGTCATTGTCATTGTCATTGTCATTGTCATTGTCATTGTCATTGTCATTGTCATTGTCATTGTCATTGTCATTGTCATTGTCATTGTCATTGTCATTGTCATTGTCATTGTCATTGTCATTGTCATTGTCATTGTCATTGTCATTGTCATTGTCATTGTCATATTGTCATTGTCATTGTCATTGTCATTGTCATTGTCATTGTCATTGTCATTGTCATTGTCATTGTCATTGTCATTGTCATTGTCATTGTCATTGTCATTGTCATTGTCATTGTCATTGTCATTGTCATTGTCATTGTCATTGTCATTGTCATTGTCATTGTCATTGTCATTGTCATTGTCATCAACATAGTATAAGAACAAACGAAAGATCTATCCTGGCTGACAGACTGATTAGCTGAATGGTTAATTGATGAGACTTGTATATTGATTAATGATTATTTTAAATAAATGACAATTTTAAAATAAATATTTAAATAAAAAAATAATTTTAAATTTTCCATATATCTCGGTTTTATTTGTTTTTCTATATATATATATATATATATATTTTAATTATTTATTTTAAATATTTGTAAAGACCAAAAAATTTGTAGAGCATTTCCAAGTCTATACTTTATAGAGTCGTTGGATCAGGCCTCATCTATCCAAACTGACGGCCGATTCGTTTTTATTTCATTTTGAAATCGAATTCAATGAATTCAATTGCAATTCCTTTTTGCATACGCAAGTTTGTGGCTGCAAAAATACGCGCCCGGCATCGCCGCTCTGGTGTTTGGTGAAGCATGTGTTAATGGGGCCACCCATACGTGGCGCCCTTTCGACCGCATTCGTATACACTCAGCAACACCCCAGCACGACCGATAGCCGCCCAGACACCCCAAACACTCAGATTGCATATCAATTACAGCTCTTGACAGTTCAGGATTGATTTTTGTTTCGGTTTGCATTTAAAGCGCTGGGTCTTCATTTCCGGCTCAACTTTAATTTTTCATTTCCATTACTTATAAAGCAATTCAGTCGGTCGCTGTTTGCTTTTAACAGCAAGGCAAATAGTGAGTGGTTTCCTTATATATGGAAGCGTTGACATTGTCTTACTGCGTCAGTCTAGGTAGCTGTCTTGATAAACATATAAAGAAATTGAGCTGGATATTGCTGGAATAAAGCTAAAAGCTAAAGAGGATCTTCGAAGAGCGCTGCCTCTGATAATAGAAAGATTGTTCGAAACGTTGGATTCTGAGCTAGATTAGACTCTGAAATCTACTGATGAGACAAAAGTTGAAATTTCTGCAGTCTTTAAAGGGAGATTCCAGTATAATAATCGAGGGATCCTTCGAAGCTTTTGTATTAAGAGAAAAGACCTTCATAAGGTTCATAGTGCTAAAGGCTAAAAAATATCTTTAAAGCGAAATTCCTCTGTTACAATCTAAAGGAGTTTGAAATCTATTTGGGAATTGTTAGAGAAAGTTCCTATTCCAGCAAAATAAAAATGTCTTTAAAGAGAAATTCCGCTGGGATATTCAAAGGATGGTTCGAAACTTTTGGCACAAGAGTCTGGGCTAGAATAGATATTGAAATCTTTTTGAGGATAGTTTTTGAGACAGTTGAGTCAAGTTCTTATTGCTAAAGAGTAAAGATTCCTCTGTGACAATCTGAACTAAAATATACTTTGAAATATCTTTGGGGATCACTCATAATGTTTGCAGACTAAGAAGGGTCGTTAAACTGAAATTTCTCTATGGCAACCTAACGATCAATCGAAAGTCTTGGCACAAATATCTGGCTTAATAGAGACATGTAATATATTTATGGATAGTTACAGTTGGGACAAAAGTTAATATTTTTGCAAAGTAAAGAATGTCTTCCTAGATGACTCGGCTAGACACTAATTAAATGTGGATAGTTCATGGGGAAATACGTTAAATACCTTTTGTTGTTTTCTTGTATGTTGAAGAAGAGTCTATGAGACTTGTCGCCTTCAGCTTTAGTCTCAAGCTCTACTCTCAAGCTAAGACTTGAGGGGAAAAGTGAGCTCTCATTGTAGCTCTGATTGCAAATTTGGGTAGCTCGAATACTCTCACATTAAATTTAGTTAGAAACAAAAATACAATACAGCATATTTATAATAAATAAGTGATATCAGTTTCGCAGATAGTTCATAAGCATTAACCCTTTTTCCAGCCAACAACTCCTTAAGAATGGAAATCCGTTTAGCCTTGCATTCAAATACATTCATATATACATCACGACATCATTTCGTTGCGTAGTTTGGCTGATACGTTTGCCTTAACTACTTTTCACAGTTGCAGGTGTTGCACGAGTAGCAGATAAACAAGGTGCTGCTACAACTCCTGGGCTTAAGTCGGATTACCGACAGCTCCCGACGGCACACAGGTCCCGTTGAGTTGCAAGCTGCAGCCCAGTAATCCTCGTGCGGCAATCTACCTGATATGCTCTGTATACAAAACCTTTTTGCTGCGGTCACTAGCTCTTAATGCCCAGTATCCAGGAGAGAGCTCTTGGAGCTGCCATCGAAACCGTTTCAGATGAGTCGCTGTCGCCCCCTGTTCAATATTGATGGCATACATAAGTAGGCGCCAGCTGAGTCGGACGAAAGAAAATACAGACCTTATTTGCTTTATAAATGAGAAATGAAGTATGAAGCAGCAGCAGCAGCAGCAGCAGCAACGACGGTGGCGGCAGCACTGATGTCAACCCAGGCAACTAGAACAACATCAGCGAGCTAGTAAAAGGACTATTAGGCGATAATTTATTTGTAATCTGCGACGTGAATGCAACTCAGCGGGCTGCATCAGCGTGCGGCAATAAAGACGAAGACCAGCAGCCGCATCAACAGCAGCATCAGCGATTGCAGTCAAACAGGAAACAGGACGCGTGCAGCTGAAAGGAATCCTCGCGTCCCGTGGGGTCATAAAAACGACTATCGAAGCAAATGCCGGCAGTGGACGGTGCAAATATTTAAAGACGGTAACGTTCACTTGCAGTCCACTTCCACTTCCACTTCCAGTTGCAGTTGCAGTTGCAGTTGCCGCAACGGCAGCCCCAAAGGCTATTTGAGGCCAACATTGTGCAGTGAGTTGAGGCCCGGGGCAGCTTAAAGGGTTCAAGCAAGAGAATATGCCCGAAATAGTTTTCGAATGCGGCTTACATGGCCAACTACAGCAGCAACAACAAATGGCAATTACAATTGCTTTAATGTGCTGCTGGCTGAAGGCTTTTGCTAGTTGCTCCAAAAAACCGCAAGGATTAAGTAATTTCTGCCAGACATGCAGCAGCCACAATCAACCAAATGAACACAAAAACTTTGCCCAAAGCAGACAGACCCGAAGATGGGGCTGGCACTCTAATGCACTCGTGTGTGCAATAAATTGGCATATCCTTACAACGCACACACACGCGCACATATCCAGTGTGAGAGAGAGTGGGATTGCTGTGGATTGAAGAGCTGCACTCACACACACACACACAGACACACAGACAATGGCAATGAGTTTTGCGTGTGCCGATGCGAGTGTATTATGCACAGGATGCGCATAAGAATGAAAATCCTTTTGCACTTAATGGCAACACCCAAGCAAGCAAGCAGCCACAGCCAGGCATAGACTGCCGAATACCTAATACCCTGTAAGACGCATGCCTTAAAAATTAAATGACAAAAGTCCACAAGGCGCATGACGGCTGGAGAGCTGTGAATACAATTTTAGTAGAGTTGAAAGTATAGCCATAGACTTTTAATACTAAGCTCTAGCTTCAGTTCAGCTTGGCATAAACAAACTCAACAGATTGTCGCTAAAGCGTTCAAAAGAGAGCTGAACCAAGCCCAACATTTGCCCAAGGCATTTGTGTCTGTCTAACTACATGAGGAGGTTCATAAAAAGACTTCTCAGTCGACTTCACTGAGATCAAATGAGATCAAGTGCAGACAGCTCGTATCAGTCTTGATATCAGTTAATAGAGAAGTTTACATCTTGATGTCTACAGCTAAAAGTCTTCATTTTGATCATTTACTCAAATAGCAAAACAGACACTGGTTGATCAGCTATCTGAAGGTGTTCAAGCACTTTGAAAGTTTGGCTTAGAATTTGTTGCTATATGAATCTAATATTAACAGAACTTACACTGGATATATATATGAATCAAGAACTTTACTTAAGCATGCGAGTTTTTCTTGTAAAATACAAATTATATTTTATTGTAAGTTTTCAAGCTTGAAAATTTGAACAGCTCTAAAAAGCATCGACGGAAAGATATTCTAGCAGTATTTTTTTTGCCCCTGGGATGAGCATGAACCTACCATTGACATCCATCTCCTGAGGCCGTCTAGTGGACACCAGCAGAGCATTGAGGAATCCACGACCATGCCCAACGTCAGTACGAAAAAAC